AGCCCAGGCTGCAGCTTTACCGAGAGGGAAGGAAGAAGATGGGCTGGGCCCAGCCACTCCAGGACTCTACTTCTGGAGTCAATGATGGGTCCAGACCCTGAGCCTGAACTCATGGAGTCTTGGGTCTGGGCCTGAACATCTAGCAGACACATAGCCTCCTACAGGAGCACAATGGGCCATAAGTTCAATGGGTGCTGGGCACACAGGAACACCTGCCTTGGCTCTGGGGCATCCACAAAGGCTGCCTGGAGGAGGTACCAACCCAAGCAGCTCTTTAAAGACAGACAGCTTAACTCCCATGAACAGACGAACAGACAGCTTCCTAGCTGCCAGGCGCTCTGCTCACACACAGACTCTGCACACACAGATATTTTAACTCTTCAGTAACCCAGATATAGAAGCCATTGAGACTGAGTAGATCTGAGCAGGGCCAGTCACGTGCCCAGCCTAAGGGCAAACGGGTCTCCAACCAGCTGGAAGGCAGGACATAATATTAGGGGAGATGACACAAAAGAGAGGAAAGGGGGGAAGACAAGCCATGGGTCCAGATGGAAACAACCACGCCTCAGACACAAGGAGGAGGCTGAGGACTGGGAATGTGGCCTAGTGGTAGAGTGCTTACCTAGCATGCATGAAGCCCTGGGTTTGATTCCTCAGTACCAGAAAAAGCTGGAAGTGGCACTGTGGCTCAAGTGGTACCCTTGAGCAAAAGAAGCTCAGGGACAGTGCCCAGGCCCCTGAGTTCAAGCCCCAGGACTGGCAAAAAGAAAAAAAGAAAAAGGAGGCTGAGCCAGGTGCTGGTGGCTCATACCTGTAATCCCAGCTACTCGGAAGGCTGAGATCTGAGGATCGTGGTTTGAAGCCAGCCCAGGAAGGAAAAGTCTTACCTCTAACTAACCACTCAAAAACTGGAAAAGGAGCTATGGCTCATGTGGTAGAGCACTAGCCTTGAGCAGAAAAGTTCAGAGACAGCACCCAGGTCCTAAGTTCAAGCTCCAGACCTAGTGCACGTGTGCATGCATGCACACACATATACACATGCACACACAAAGAGAGAGGCCAGGCTGAAGCCATTCTGGGCTCTGGTCCCATCTGTCTAACTAGGGCAGCAGCCATGCTGACTGCCCGGGGGGCTCTCTGAGAGCAGCTGCTCCAGCAGTGGGTGGCTGGCAGCCAGATGGCAGAGGCTGTGGGTCTGACTCTCATGGCCTCACAGGACCCATAGGGGCCCAGAGAGCCCAAAGGCAAGGAACCTAAGAACCACATGCTACTGAGGTGGGAGCTCTTTATTTACAGACTTGTTCACGATGAAGGTCAGCTCCAAAGGGAGGCTGAGCCAGTAGCTGAGGGCTGATACAACTACCCAGACTAGTGGTGGCCCTCACCCCCCTTAACCCCTGACCATCTCTCTGGGGTTCAGGATACTTCTGACCTCCTCAACCCAGAACACAAGGCCAGAGGTAGCCTCCTTCTGACATAGCTCCTGCCCCTTGGATGGGGTTGAGGGTCAGGAAAGCTATCTTAATACTGAAAATAGAAATAAAGAAAGTGACCTCTAGCTGAGGAAGAGGAATTCTCGTCAGACTCAAGGAAGCACTGGCCTGGATTGCTGAAGAAAGTCATGGTTATTTTGGGAGAAGACGAGAAAACCCGTCTTTCTCTGTGCTAACAAATCTGCCTGCCTAGAAAAAAAGACAAATGTAGGGATCTCTTACTCCCCTCTACGCTCACCCCCACCCCGGTCCCTGCTGGTCTCCCCTTCTGCCTTTGTCATCTATTTATCCCAGTCCAACACCTGGTGCACATGAGAAAGCTCAGGCCATTTTCCAGCCAGGTGGACGGAACGGGCAGGTAAACCAGCGCCCAAGCCTGAGAGAGCAAGGGCCACGCAAAGGAAATGCTGTGCTTTTCTTGGGCTTTGGGGCTCAGAGCACACAGCCCAGGGGCAGGGAGGGCTTCAGAAAGTGGCATTTGCAGGGCAGGTAGGATTCTGCACCGACAAAAGCCAGTGGGGGCAAAGGGCAAGCTGAGTAGAGGGGACAAGTGAGTGGAATAGAGGGGCAGAGGATGGAATATTCCAGAAATGACAGACTGGCTGGGCTGCAGAGGTACAGTGAGAAGGGTCTGGCAAGCTAACCAATAAGTTGGGAACAGACTATGAGGCCCTGAGCCAGGCTGAGTGATCTGCACTGTCTGGAAGGCAGTGGGGAGCTATGGATGGGTTTGGGGAAAGACATGGCATTATCTGGGCTGGAGCTAGAAGAGCTTCTTTCTCCTGTCTTAGGGTCTCATGAAATTCACTTGGCCTTGATTCCAAGCCCTGAGGCCTGCCAGGGATTTCCTAAGGAGGGTAATTTGTATCTCACACATTACACTTTTGAAACTCTACTTAATAACATAGCTCTGTGGCCTCCTGACTCCCCCATTTTTCTTCAGTTGTAGCCTAACTATACTGTATCCAGGGTTTATGAGACTTGTGATCTACCCTGTCTCTCAGGATAAATCCCAGTGCCCAGGTCTGTTTTCTTTGCTACCTAGAACCCTAACAAACTCTTGTTATGGTAGAGGGGGAGAAGGGAAGAAAGAGGCTGCTCCGCAGGAAGCAGCCGAACTGCTTGCTGCCTCTCTGGCTCCTCACTTCTGGCTTCCCAGGCTTGGCAGCACCTGAGCCTCCCAGTGGAAAAATGTCGGAGAGATGCAGACAGAACTGTCTTACTTCCCCTCCTGTGCCTCTCACCCTGCCAGGAATCTGGGAAGATTTGGATTGCTCCTCCTTCCCTTCTGAGCCAGAACCCCCACCACTGCTTTCTGTCATCTTGGAGCGGAGGCCAAGACGAGCAAACTGCACCCAGGGGGGAATGAGAGGCCTGCAGCACACGGACCTAGAAGAGCAGACCTGACTCTGCTCAGAGCAGTATTACAAATTACTGAGCCCTGTCCCAGGCAGGCTCTGTACAGCCATTCTAGCCTCACACTCACCCCCGTGAAGTGGAAAATCAGCCTACCCATTTTACAGACGGAGAGACAGAGACTCAGAGAGGTTCACTCAGTCTTCTTACCAATTTTGACTGCAGATCCAGTCAACTCTACCCAGTGCCCCTTTCTTCCTGGAACTCTCTGCTATAAAAGTAGGTGGGCTGCTGGAATGGTTCTGTGCTGCATACTCTGTCCAGGGTGCTGATCACAAGTAGTCTCTGCCACTCCCTAGGCTGCCCGCTGGAGCTATGGGTACAGAAGCTCTGGCCACCTCTGAGGACAGAATGAGGATAATGGCTTCATGTCTGCCATCTGCTTGGCCTCAGCATAGGGCTTCTCTGCTTTGGGTAGTGCCAGCTTCCTCTCCTCACTCTCATGTGGACAGAGCTGGAATCTAGACTAGGGCCCATTGCCTTTATAGTCCCAGTGGGCTGAGGCAGAGGAAGCCAGAGCTATAGGTTTCCAGTGAACCCAGCATCCTTGTCTGCTCACAGCCAGGCTGTGGTCAGGGATCAAACTTTCAGCTATGTGTCTGCAAGTGGCCACTCTCCTGTGCCTCAGGAACTCAGTTCACCCAGTGAGGGATTTCTTGTTATGGGCATGACAAAAAAAAAAAAAAATATATATATATGTATGTGTGTGTATATATATAATATTATATATAGATATATATCTCCAGTTTCTGCCTTCAAGGCCCTTAAAAGACACAAGACCCTTACGGCACAGTCATTAAGCCATGGGGAGACATGGATGATGGTAGAGCAGAGGAGTGATACAACTACACTTTGCTTTAGGAAAGTAAGGCGAAGCGGGAGTCCATGAATTGTACTGATAAAGACACTGAGGTACACAGAGATGGTGACAGCTGAGGCATAAGCCACTGAACTGCAGAGCTGGAGCATTACACGCTACTCCACACTGCTGCTTGTGGCCATCTAGATGGGAGGAAGTGACTCTGGCACAGGGCTGAGCAGGGAAGATGGCGGAAGACAGCAGTAGAGTACTTCCTGGGGTCAAGACTGCTTATCCTGAGGTTTCTTTCAAGAAAGGGCCAGGGGACATGTCTTCTTAAATTGAAGACAGGAAAATCAAAGCACCTTGCATGCACGCGCGCATACACACACACACACACACACACACACACACACACAAACTGTATCAAAGATTTCCTTTTCCCATGAGGATAGCTTCTTTTAGATACTCAGAGAGAAATCATACCACAGCTAGAATTTCCTCTGAGAAGCCTCCCGGATATCTAATCCTTTCTGAAAGATTTCTTCATTAACATATTCCTTTACTTAAAGGAGGGAAGAAAGCCTCACATAGTGGCTAACGTGGCCTTATGAGGTGCTAGAGGTGGCCCAGGGAGGTGGGAAGCAAAAGAGCTGGTGGCAAAGGCTGAGATGAGGCTGCGAAAAGAGGAGGCGCTGAACCTGACAAGGGCCATCCGAAGCCAAAGGCTTCCTGTGCTCTCTGACAAGATTACACCTGATTCCTCAGAGCTGTTCCACACATTTGGAACTACACTTCTGATGTAAGATGTAAGTACTGTCTGAGAAATAAAGAGGGATTGTCGTTGGATTATGTCACTAAGATCTTTCCAGCTTTGGCAGTTTCTGAAGATACCATCTGTCCTAATCCTTTCCTGAAGGGGAAAAAAAGAACTCACAGGCATTGTGGAGCTCTCATTAGAGCAGCGAACGTCGGGTTCTGGTCCTGCCGCATGCCAGGGCAAGCCAGGCAAGAACCACACAGGGGATCTGCTGAGAGCTCAACCTAGGCTGTGGCAGATGGGTGGGTGGCATGCGAACCAAAGCCCAAGGGTTTCTCACCCGTTTGAAGGTCTCAGGAGCAGAGTCACCTGGAACGATGTCCCTGCAGAAGGCCCTGACTTTTCTCTCCCAAAAAGCTGTGGGCTGAGAAGGGATTAGAGAGGACTGGAGAGGCACAGGCCATAGGGCAGGCAGGGGGATGTGCAGGTGCTAGGCTTGGGTGACAGGTGGGATGATGGCAGAGACACCTACCTAGAGCAGCAGGTGGGGGTGGAGGATGATGAGCTGTTCCTAGGCCCACTCTTGATGGATCCCCAGGGATTCCAAGGGACTCAGCAGTACCTCGCTGACTCCTGACCACAAGAGTGGCTCCTCCAAGTCTCTGTAGAACAGGGACAATGGGACAGTCTCAGGGCAGGCAGGCACAGATCCCAATTCTCCCTGGCTTCTGAACAGCTCCTCCCCAAACCCAAGCAGTCCAGACTCCTCCCAAGCCCGGCATTCTGTCAGCATCTTTCCGTAAGAGCCTGTGTTAGGGAGTTCAATGAGGAGGTAGAAAGATCTGGCTGAAACACAAGACCCTATCCCAAAAAATTACCTGACATATGTAAAGGTAACCCCACTGTAAATCACCTCTAAAACAACAATAGATTAGGAAAAATAATTAACTAAGGCAAAAAGGGCTGAAGTGAATATGGTTCAAATGATAAAGCACTTTCCTAACAAGTACAAGATCATGAGTTAAAACCCAACTACCACCAAGAACAGATTTTAAACATGTAAACTAGTTTGCACTCCTTTAGCAATAAGGAAGATGTCCCTTTCTCTCCATCTTCCACAAGACCATGAATTATCAAATTCTTAAACTTGGCCAATATTAGAGCTGAAAAATAATAACTTGTCTCAGTTTGTAACTGTCAGTAAGGACAAACCTGTCTTCGTGGTTTGTGATACTTTGGCTTTGCATTTATTTTTCTGTGAACAGTCTATGTCCTTTCTTTAAAAAAAAAAAAGCTTTTCTTAAGTTAATGCAATTAATATTTTTGTCACAGATATTGTCTCTTCCTGACCTTATTTATGGCATCTTTTGTTTATAAAAATTTCACATCTTCCTGTAATCAAAAGTATTTCTTCTCTCTAATGACTTCTGGGTATTTGGAATTTCCCAGCTGGGTACGGGTGGTTCATGCCTGTAATCCTAGTTACTCAGGAGGCTAAAATCTGAGGGACTGGGGCTTGAAGCCAGTCGAAACAGCAAATTCTATTATACTCCATCTCCAAAATAATCAGCAGGAAGGCATGGCTCAAATGGTTGGGGCACCAGCTGAACAAGCAAGCCAAATGAGGCAAGATCCTGAGTTCAAATTCTGGTTCAAGCACAACAAAACGAAACTTTCCTGAAGATCATCGAAATTCTGTGCCCACATTTCTCACTAGTATTGATAGGGTTTTATTCTTTCATGATGCATCTAGAATTTGCATTGGTGCAAGGATGGTGGTAGGACCCAGCTTTGTTGTTTTCCTCAAAAGCCAAGCAAAAAAGGGCCTCACAGTGTTTTTTGAGTAGTCTATTTCCTGTGCTCCCTGTCCGATTCCAAATTCCAACTGAACTGTAGGATGGGTCTAGAGGGAGAGCATAAACTCAGGATCAAGTGCATGGCTCAACTTGCAGCTCTGCTGGATCTAGCATAAGTGACCTAACTTTCCTTGTCTACAACTGGTAGTGTTTATAGTACCATCTACAAAGCTATGGAAAGGATTAAATGAGTTATTACAGATAAAGGACACAGAAAACTACCCAGAAGAGGCTCACCTAAGATGTAGACACAACTGAGCTGAAAGTGGAAGGATGAAGAAAAGATCTCCAGGCAAACAGTGGCCATTATGATTTAACCATGTCCCCTGCAGTGAGGAAACCTCAGTTCCCGTGTTAAAAACAGTTCCCATGCATCAAAGTTGTGAGGTAGGCCCTTGAAGAATTAATTAGATCACAAGGGCTCTGTCCTCATGAATGGATTAACGTCAATAGCATGGGAGTGGATTAGTGACCTCCAGAATGTTAGGAAGTGAATCACCCCCCCTTCCCTCTCTCGTCCTGGCATTTTGTCACCATGAGGTGCCTTCATCAATCATGGATTTCTCAGCCTTCAGAACTAGGAGCTAAAGACATATCTGTCCATTATAAATCATTGGACTCAAGTATTGCTATAACAACACAAAATGGATAAAGACAGTAACCACATATGGCCAAGGGTGACTGTATTTCTAACAGAAACTGCCACAAGAGATGAAAGATATTCTGTAATGATCAAGTGTATATATACCAGGAAGATACAGCAACTCTAAATATACATGCACCAAACAGCAGAGCACCCAAATACATGAGGCAAACATGGACAGAATGGAAAAGAAAAAGACACCTTTCAATGCTTTCAACAATGATTAGAACAACCAGACAAATCAACAAGGAGACAGGACCTGACCCCACACACTTGAACCCAAGATGCTTATACAGAATGCTCAGCTGCAGACACACTTCCCAACAATCTCCAGCACAGATTGCTATAGGATTCAGGTGCAGCATCTCTACCTGAATGTGTGATTCAGGTACAACATCTGCACCTGAATGTGTGTGTTGGTGATCTCCTCTCCCTCTCTCCTTCCCTTCCTCACTCTGTTTCCTCCCACTCCACCCCAACCATGCCCCCTTCCTCTTTTGCTAATACCAAGTTTTAACTCAGAGCCTCAAACTCTCAGTCTGGATTGCTTGCTCACTCACAGCTGGCACTCTACCATTTGAGCCACAACTCCAGTCTAGCTTTTACTGGTTATTTTGGAGATGATGTCTAATGGACTTTTTTGCCTGTGCTGGCTTTTAACCATAATCCTGTGGATGTCAGCCTCCTAAAGAGCTTGGATTACAGGGTGAGCCACCAGTGCCTGGCTAGTGGTTATTCTCAAATCACTGCAGAGGTCTGTGAAACCATTCCTCTGTTTAACAAATATCTCTATGTGTCAAGAACACAGGGAGCCAAAGTTAACAGCAATGATTTAAGAGCTGCTTCTACCACCTCTGGTTAGATTTAGAGTTATTTTTAACACGTACTGATACCAGAAACACTTTCTTCTATTATATTTTAAAGGAGGATGAAGTTTATGGGTAGAAATGCCATATATATTTTCATTTCTAGTATTAATTACTATTACTAGTCATCTCTATCTTGTTTCTACTATGTTTTTCAGTTGACAATCTTACTCTTTTTTTTCTCCAAGTAGCAAATCTTATTCTTACCAAATCTGTATGAAGATTTTCTTTTCTCTTGTCCTGGGGATTGACCCAGAGCCTGGGTATTCTTAAACTTACTCAATACCACTCAGGAATACTTCTTTTTTTTTTTTTTTCTTTTTTCTTTTTGCCAGTCCTAGGGTTTGACCTCAGGGCCTGGGCACTGTCCCTGAGCTTCTTTTGCTCAAGGCTAGCCCTCTACCACTTGAGCTACAACACCACTTTTGGCTTTTTCTGTTTATGTGGTACTGAGGAATCAAACCCAGGGCTTCACGCATGCTAGGCAAACACTCTACCACTAAGCCACATTCTCAGCCCAACTGAGGAATACTTCTACCCTCTATTTTATTTTATTATTATTATTTTGGGGGGGGGTCTGGTAGTGGGGCCTGAACTCTGGGCCTGGGCACTGTCCTCAGCTCTTCATCTCAAGGCAAGCGCTCTACCACTGAGCCACCTTCCCAGCCCCTACCCTCTATTTTATAACTTACATTTTTAAATTTTTCATTGGCTTATACCCCAAGAGCACAGTCAAAGAATTAAGGTAATAGCGTTCTTTCCTCATATGTGTTTCTGCCCACATATAAATATGCACATGTACATAAAAACCATGTTAAGCAATACCTATTTATTTCTATTAGAGTTAAAGGCAAGGACATATATCAATTTTATCAAGGGCTTATTTATATAATTCTTTATCTCAGTATGCTTTTTTCAACTATGTTAACAGGTGTTTTTTTTTTAATATTGAGTCTGTATTTGTGGACCATTAACTTGCTTGTTGTTTATTTATTTTTAAAAAAATTTACTGTTGGGGCTGGGAAGGTGGCTCAGTGGTAGAGTGCTTGCCTCGCATGCATGAGGCCCTGGGTTTGATTCTTCAGCACCACATAAACAGAGAAAGCAGGAAGTGGCGCTGTGGCTCAAGTGGTAGAGTGCTAGCCTTGAGTTGAAGAGCTGAGGGACAGCACCCAGGCCCAGAGTTCAGGCCCCACGACTGACAAAAAGAAAAATTACTGTTATGTTATTATTAAATATATGAATTTTGCATCAATTTTTATACATGAATATTTATTCTATTATTTATGAATTTTCACCAATATTTATAAATGGAGTTTATAAGGTAAATTTCTGTTTTTTACTATCTTCATCAAGATTTGGTAACAATGTGGTCCTGGCTTCATGGAGTGATCTGGAATTCTCCCTTCTCTGTGTTTTGGGTATGGTTAGTGGGGTTTAAACAATATTGGATGTAAAATGGACCCTGTGTATGGGTGTGGAAGTGTGGAAATACAAGTGGGAGGAGGAGAACAAATGGAGAGGGTGTAGGAGGGTGAATATGGTCAAAATACTTTGTCTACATATGTGAAAATGAGATTGGTTTGGGAAGAGGGGGATTGGGGATGAGGGGGAGTGATGGAAGGGGTTAATCAAATCAAGGTATTGTATGCACATATGATGAGTCAAAACTAACCCCCCGTACAACTAATTAATGGTCATAAAATACGTACAATAAATGTAAATAAATAGCATTGGAATCATTTGTTCCTTGAAACCTTGATAATTAAAACTGTCTAAACTTGGTTTGTTTTAGGAGAATCTTATGAAAGACTATTTGAGTTTTCTATGTCTTCTGGGATCAAACTGATGATTTATATTTTTTTTCCCAGAAAACTGTCACTACATCTAGCATCTAACCGAATTTGCATATGGTTAAACCCAGAATTCTCCAAGAATTCTACTTGCTTAATATTGGTGGATACTTCCCCATTTTAATACTGAATTTTCATCTATTTGCCTCATTCCTTCACCACTCCTTATTACATTAGCCATACTTTGAAGCCAAGGTGTTTCCTTCCCCCTCCCACACCCTCCCCCAGCCTTCTTTACTACACACACATCCCAGAAATAGAGGTGCTGAAATTGCACACAGGGATGAGAAAGTGGCCAGAAAAAAGCAGGCTGATAAGTCAACATACCCTTCAAAAGTGCAGAGCCTGTCCACATTCTCTGGCCTGGAACACCCGGCCATACAGAAAAGCCCATGTCTGCTGCTTTACTGGGTCTTGCCACTATGACCTCTGCACCTTGCACGC